GGGGTGCAACTATTGTGAGACATAATTAATGAACTAAAAACAAAACAAATTATTCCTTTGAAAATGGTTGGTAGACTGAAATTGTTGGGATTTCTAGTAAAACTTTGTGAAAATTTCCACTAGTGTTTGTTTTGCTTTTACTTCATTAAACAAATTCTAATGAAATGCATGAGTTATTGAGTTCATATTTTTTATTAGTTCCACAAACAATTTTATTACTTCTAATTGTAAGTTGGTGATTCTGATATTTGCACTGAATTGGAAATTATTGCTTTTTGGAAGTACTATGAACATTTACGAATTATTTTTGAATTTTAAATTTTATTAAACGGAAATATTTTCAAAAAACAAATTTTGTCCCAGTAATTTAACCTTTTGAATTTCCCGCTTTAACAGTGGCTTCCAAGATTTTTAAATTAAATAAGGCTAAAGGTTTTTTCATATAGATTTTACTTTTATTTATTTTTTATTCTTTAATAAAGTGTTTATTTTAAAAGGCAGTTTACAATTATGAAGCAATTTTTTTTTGTAAATAGTTACCTTATTGAAACATTGCAGTCGCCGCTACTGAATGTTTGTTTTGTTTGTTTGACAATACATCTGTCAAAATTACAATGACGTTGTCATTTTCTTAAGAGCAACTTCAAAGAAGAAAAAGTAGACCTAACGATATTTTAAATGAGTGTTCAACTAAAGTTGTTATAGTAATTCTGCTAAAGGAAACAACGCGTTTCTTGAATGGTTCTTTCATTTTAAAAATTTTTGATAGGCAAAAGAACTCTTAATATATAACAGCTTGCTCTGAGTTGCGTAGAAATACTATTTTCCGTGGTGATTATCAGCCATTTTGGGTGTACCATTTTGACTAAACGGCACGTCGTGAATTATTAGTCAGGTTCGGTCAAGTTTAGTTTGTGCAACCAAGAATTAAGAAAGGGGGGCATATTTTAATAATTTTAGGGTAGTAGTTGCTGTAAAATTTCCAAAATGTCGCAGCAACTGCTTCCGATTCGCTTTCAAGAGCATCTACAGGTAAGTTTTGAGAAATTTCCACGTATCGGTTTAGAAACCGGGATTTCCATGTAACATCATTTTTATGCTTGTTTTTCATATTAAAACAAGTATTCTGTAATTTTTACGTTGTTAAAAAGTTCTATAATAATAATTTTGACCTGTGCCCTTTAAAAGACACATATTTCATAGGGAAGGGGGCGTTTTCGTTAATGGAATAATTATTTATAGATTCATTTGTAGATAATGTCTATGAAAAAAATGTTCTTTTATTCTTTTAGCTGATAATTTCATTAAAGTTGACTACATACTATAGCAAGTAGGTCAATTACTTGTGAATACAACTAAAACTTGCACAAATCAATAATTTCTACAGGGTGCTAACAAAAAAAAATACAAAACTAAATGGTAATGGTACATACAGAATATGGGTCATAAAATGTTACATAGTCTAGACATGTGGCTCTTTAAAGATAAAATAAAGAAATTTCTACTTATATTCCAACAAGACACGTTATGAAGCTACCTGTCCATAGACATGATAAATGATTGAAATATTAGTATGAAAGCTTTAAGTTGAAAGTAAAGCAAA